GTCTGGAGAGGACGATATGGATGACGAACTCAGTATACTTTGAGCTTGATAGAGCCCGAACTAGATTAGGATGTAGGGACAATACGCAATCACTCTAATAGAGTTTTGATTTACGCCTTATCTTTTGTTTTGCTTTTTCGTTTTCTTGGTGCTGGCAGCCAGGGATCATACGTACGTACATGTGTATATGCACATGTAATGAATTCGTCTCAGTGCTCGTCTCAGGCTTTGACTGGAGAATAATCCTCCGCCTCTCAGGAGCCGCGGAAACGGTTACGATAACATCGGTCATGGTGGGGCATGAGGCACTTGAAACCGCCATTCGATGTCATTGCTGGGTCAGGCTGGGTTAGGTTCGGTTGAGAACAATCTCGGGAGACTTGATCAGCAAATGGAGTCCATAGTTTTACGGGTACCTATTTATTGCATTGCCGCTGAGTCGTGTTTAGTTGGAAGTGGACAACGCACGTTCTTGCGAGGGCTACAAATGGAGTATCCTCCGGTGTAAGAGAGATGAAAGACTCGCAAAATTAAAGTATTTATCGTAAAAGTCCTAAAAGAGAGTTTAAAATTAGCGGGGCGTTGAAGTTTTAAGAAGATCATATGGATGTAATCCCCTAAGCATTCACTTCACTGTCACCTCCCTCGAACAACCAAGAAACTGATTACCTACCTGTACCCAGAAGCTGGAAGGCCCTTGTTTCAGAATCCCAGTTGTGCCCCGCGGTGCTAGGATATCAGATGTCCTTCCGCCACTCGGAGCCAGCGCCACGGTCATCTCCCCTGTTCAATGCATCGTGTCCCGCGCAATTGCAACGCAGACGCTGACTGGGCCCAGCCTGCTCCAGTTCGCTAATAGAGCCGCTGGGGGTTCCTAGATTGTGCAGGCTCGCCCAATGGCATGGCTGGATCAGGCAATCTTGAATGTGTCGATGAGTATCTTGAAACTGGATGCCCCTGAGACTAGAGGCTAGGCCTAGTGGTCTCGCAGCTGGCCCCAGCTGTAACTCCCGTCAGTCAGCGTCGTCGTGTTGCAGCTGGCTGTTCACTGGCAGATGGGCCCCCTCAGTGGGATAGGAAGCGGGATAAGGTATAGCCAGCTGATGGACTGGGCTGCAAATGAGAGAGCAAGGGACGCTGCATGGCCACTGTTTCTACGACAAGCCTACACGCGGCCTTGAATATGATCTGCTTGAGCCATGATTGCTGGGGAATTCAGTATAGACCCAATTTATCTCGCAAAATACCCCCTGCTCACTCTTAATACTATCCCTCCCTCCCTTGGCCTCCGCAATCGTTTTTTCAAAACTCTTCCTTGCCTTGTCTTGTTTCGTCAACCTTGACGTCTTCAGTTCATTCCTAAAGAAGGCGTAGGAATTGTTTGTTTCGGAGCTGGTTTCCATTCAGACACACACGCTCTCTCTCGTCCCTTCACTCATTTATTCACCTTCTGCTGTTGGTGTTGTGAGTGCTACGGCTGGCTACATTACAGTCCCTTGGCCCCATCACTGTCGACAGCGCCCTCTCTCTCTTTCTCTCTTCTTTTTCTCTTCGCCGCCGCTTCTTCGACCATTCTACTCAATTCCTCCAGGGGAGGATTTTCTTTTTCTCTCTTTAACCTCTTGTCAAATTTTCACTTCGACACCTCGACCTCATTGTTTTCCTTCTTTCTCAGTCTTTCCCTTCCATTCTTTCTTCAGTCGCAATGAGTGCCGGAAACTCACTGCTGCCGCGAGGCGGTTACGAGCTCACGCCCGAGCAACAACTCGCTAAAGAAATCGCCGAAACAACCAATGGAAACCTATCCAAGTACCTCATGATCGTCTGTGGTGCTGTCTCTGCTGCTGTTATCGTGTGGAAGGTCTGCGAGCGAATTATCCGACTTACTCGACATGTTTCTTGCTTGAACAACGACAAGCAGCGCTACTTCGCTATCCCGAACCAGAAGTTTGCGGCCCTGAAGCGCCACCTTCTTTACGCTCCCGTCTTCAGCAAGCGCCACAACCGCGAAATCCAGCTAAGCAAGGCCATCAACGTTGGAACTCTGCCCACCCGTTTCCAACTGCTTTTCCTCGTGTCCTACTTTGTTTCCAATGTCGTCTGGTGCGTCATCGACATCGATTATTCCGCTGATATGGTCACCGCCTGCGGTGTCATTCGCAACCGCACTGGTGTCCTCTCAACTGTCAACATGGTATGAACCTATTGAATTGAATTGCATTGCATTGCATTACATCCATTGTATATTAAGGATCGCCAAGCCAATGAATGATTGCACTTTTATAGTGCTTGGCTTGGGTCGTTCCAAAATCTCACTAGTACATGCCACTAACCTTATTTCCATTTCAGGTCCCTCTCTTCCTTCTGGCTGGACGAAACAACCCTCTCATCCCCCTCTTGAACATCTCCTTCGACACCTACAACCTGATCCACCGCTGGTTTGGCCGTATTGTCATTCTTGAGGCTCTCGCTCATACCCTTGCCCACTATGGTAAAAACGGTTGGGTCTTCACCCCTCCTGCGGGCAACTTTATCCTTCCCGGCTTTGTTGTAAGTCACTTTATTCACGTCGATCACGTAAATGAACTTTTACTTACATACGCTTCCTAGGCCACATGCTCCTTTGTCTTCCTCGGCATCCAGGCCTCCAGCCCTCTTCGCCATGCCTTTTATGAGATCTTCAAGGCTCTCCACATCCTTGCAGCCACCGCCGCCGTTGTGGGATTGTACTATCACTTGTCCGCATCCCCTGGTCTGTTCAAGTGGCTCTGCTACGTTTATGCCGTGATTGCTCTCTGGAGTTTTGACCGCACCTATCGTGTTTGGCGTGTCATTCGTTCTCACGTTGGAGGTTCGCGCTCCCGAACCATTGTCGAAGCCTTGCCTGGAAATGCCGTCCGATTGACCATGACTCTGGCTCGCCCATGGAACGCCGCCCCTGGACAACATGCCTATCTCTACATGCCCGCCATCAGCTACTGGCAATCTCACCCCTTCTCCGTCGCCTGGTACGATGGCGTCGAGGATGTCAAGAGCGACCGATTAGCCACTACTAACCAAGATCTTGTGGCTATGCAACAACAGCGGGTTTCTTTCATCATCCGGGGCAGAACCGGCATGACTGACAGCCTCTACAAGAAGGCAGTCGCTGCCCCTGGAGGTCGTTTCGAGACAAGCTGCTTCGCCGAGGGCCCTTATGGTGGACACCACTCTTTCGACTCTTACGGTACTGTGGTTCTCTTCGCTGGAGGTGTCGGCATCACTCACCCCGTCCCCTATATCAAGCATCTTGTTGAGGGCTACTCCGAGGGTACTGTCGCAACTCGAAGGATCTTGTTAGTCTGGACCATTCAGACTCCCGAGCACCTGGAGTGGATCCGCCCTTGGATGACTGAGATCTTGGGCATGGACAAGAGAAGGGACGTTCTCCGAATCATGCTCTTTGTCAGCCAGCCACGCTCCACCAAGGAAATCCACAGCCCCTCGTCCACTGTCCAGATGTTCCCTGGACGACCCAACATCAACACTCTCTTGGGTATGGAGCAAGAGCACCAGGTGGGTGCCATGGCTGTTACAGTCTGTGGCCCTGGTGCTCTTAGTGACGAGGTTCGCCTGGCTGTCCGAAACCGCCAGGACCGATCCCACATCGATTTCATCGAGGAGGCGTTCACGTGGTAAGCTTGACAGCGGGTATGAGGTGTTTGGGAGTTTTGGCATTTTCTGGCTAGTCCAGTCCATAATTCCCAGCCATGAGCAACAGCACTGGCTCTCACATCCGAACTCTGGGAGTTTTTAGGGATTCAGATGTTTCCAGTCCATCTTTGGACATCTTGCGAGGCAAGGCTCAATTTTGAGATCAATTTCATGTATTGTACTTTAGATCGAGGTGTATCTACGCTCCTTTTGTGTCCTTTGGAGGACCAGCACTCAATAGCACTAAAACAAGTAACGGCCATAATAAATGTGTCTTGTACTGAATGTGATGGGATTGATGAATAAAGGTACGAAATTTCATCGACACCAACAAATGTTATGGCCGTGTCGGCTAGGCTTGCTTGGGCTAAGTTTGATGACGATGTACTCAGAAAGTGTTGTTGGATGACAATAAGACAAGCCTTTGTTCTTTTTCCTCAAATTATTTATTATATGGGCGATTTGTAGGGTTGAGAGGTTGTTTACTTGCTGTTCAATCGTCAACCACCAACGCATAGTTCGAAGTACATTATCCACTATTCACTTACACTAGACCGTGTTGGATGTATGTCTGAACGTGGCATTGATCAAGTGACTCGTGTGCCGTCTCGGCAGGTGACCGAAAGCGCTGACTCTGATCTCTAGAGATTACCATCATTTGACCCAGCGCTGAGACACTCAGGCTCGTGTTCCCTGTCGAAATTGGATACAGAAGCTCTTAACAAATGTGGGTGGGAGGCTAGAGTCGATGGCACTTGATCTGAGCAGGGAATGAAGAACCGATAACAGCTTCGTGAATTGTGATACGGCCAGAGTTATGCACAAGTCACCCTCCTAGAAATCTGGTGGCTGGGATCTCGCTTGTCTCGCTGGGACCCGCATAAACTAAGCCAGGTTCTCCACCAAGGAATAAAGGGTACATCGACTTGGCTTGAGCAAGTACCTTGAGGTAACGCGTAACGCGTAGCACTCACATGAGGAGACGTGAGGCGCCAGATATGGATCTAAGGGCTAATGCAGGTAGTGCATGCATTTAGTGAGGCGACGACTCCGCATTCGGGTCAAGTGTCTGAACCCTGCATTTGCATCCCTCTGTGCTACCGCTACGTACCTCTACTCCGCCTTTTGCCTTACCTTTTTAGGTACGGAGTAGTGCAGGTTAGTAGGTTGGAGCTTATCAGCTCTTTGTTCTTATCAGTTCTGGCTGACCTTCTTAGCCGTCTCATCCCTCATCCTCCACATTCACTCTTTGAATATCATCATCAACCACTGAAGTCTGGCCGTCGGTAATCGGCCATCTCTTCAACATGGCGTCCAGAAGCCTCATCCCATTTCTCGTAGCCATGATGCTGCTCACAGGTGTTTGCAACACCTTGTTGACCAAGTATCAGGTATGACGACATGCGCTGCGCATCCGCTGTTCCGCCATCCATGTTAGAAGAGCTGTAACTGACTCACCTCTCCATAGGACAACCAATGTGTTCGAAACTGTGGCCCCGATGACAGTCCAAGGAAGCGCGCTTTCTTTAACCAGCCGGTTCTCCAAACCGCCCAGATGTTCATCGGCGAGATGGGCTGCTGGCTGGTCGTTGGCCTCATGGCTCTCTGGCGACGGTTCAATGGTTCTGCACCACAAGATCGAGGCTATCAAGCTGTTGATACCGAGGAGAATGGCGATGCTGAAGCTGCACCCCAAGCCGATGATCGCACCAAGCTCCTTCACACCGGCCCATCCATCTTGAGGGGATACCGAGTTACCTTGCTTGCTCTGCCCGCTATTTGCGACATCTGCGGTACCACGCTCATGAACGCTGGACTTCTCATGGTTGCTGCCTCCATCTACCAAATGACACGAGGTGCTCTCGTCTTGTTCGTCGGCCTCTTCAGCGTCGTCTTCCTCAAGCGACACTTGCATCTCTTCCAGTGGCTGGCCCTCGTCGGTGTCGTCCTGGGTGTCGCAGTCGTTGGCTTGGCCGGAGCTATTTGGCCTGATGAGAAGCCTGAGAACTCCATTGGACAGCCCGAGGAGGACTCGGCTACTGATGGAGGTCTTTCAGACGCTGCCAGAGCCATTGTGGGTGTTTTGCTTATCGCTGGTGCCCAGATCTTTACAGCCACCCAGTTCGTCCTCGAGGAATATCTCCTGGAGAGATCTACAATTGACCCAATTAGAGTGGTCGGCTGGGAGGGCCTCTTCGGTTTCAGTGTTACCCTCCTTGCTATGCTTGTTCTGCATGCCACTATCGGCTCCACTGAAGCTGGCAAATATGGATATTTTGATATTGTCGAGGGCTGGCGCCAGATGACCGAGAACAAGCAGGTCCTCATCTCTAGTTTCCTCATCATGATCAGCATTGGGTGAGTATCTCGTCAATGAGATTTGGATAAACAAACACTGACATTGCTACCAGTGGCTTCAACTTCTTTGGCTTGTCCGTTACACGGAGCGTCAGTGCTACTTCTCGATCTACCATTGACACTTGCAGAACCCTTTTCATCTGGATCGTCTCCCTTGGCTTGGGTTGGGAGACTTTCAAGTGGCTCCAAATTGTCGGCTTCGCCCTGCTTGTTTACTTCACCTTCTTGTTCAACGGTATCGTTCAGCCTCCTCTGGAGTTCCTCAGAGTCCCAGATGAAGAGGTCGAGGAGCTCTTGCCCGAGGAGCCCATTGAGCACCGTTAAGTGAAACATTCTGTGCTGTGATACTACATCATATCAAGTTGAGCCCAAGTTTTGGAATCATCTGCATGTTCGAACGGCGTCCAGGTTTGGAGTATAAGATTTAGTCGAATAGTTTATCATATTGAAATTCAGATCCAATGGCTAAGAAACTCAACTATGTCTGGTTTGTCCTTGTCATGGTCAAAAGCAGTGTTTAGGCCACCCAAAAATGCAGTCAACGCCTGTGCATCCAATATACAGATAACGCTTGAGACAAAAGCAGCCAATGAGCACGCTGGGAGGTGCCTCGACAGCCAAGCCTCAAGTAACATTACATAGCAGCTCAGCCTCAAGAATAAACTTTCCCTCCTTATACTTCTCCGAAGATTCGTAAGCCTTATCATACTTCCATCCAACGGTCTCCTTGCACTGACGGCATGTAATATCACGGACTACGTGTCGACCGGTCGTCATGTTACGTTCGTTCGGAGGACCCGTCTCGATATTGACGACGTTGTGAAAGAGATAGGCCTTGCCATGTTGACCGCGGAAATTCTGGTATCGGCGTCAGCGGACAGCAATCTACAGGGGATTTGGGGGACAACATACGCGGCTGATGATATCCTCATGGTTAGCAAGATGGGCCTTGCATGTCTTGCAGCCGTAGATCTTGCTGCTATTCAGGTAGGTGTTGTAAGCTAGCCCCATGATGCGGGGCCCTGAGGCGGTCGAAGGGCAATGCCAAACTGGAAGGGGTACCGGAGGTGCTTATATACTGATATTGCGCAGAGTTGAAGTTGTCGAGATGTACCGTGAACTTGCTGCGTGTGTCTAATAAGTTGACAAGGGAAAGCTGATGATGAAGGAACAGTGGAGAAGGCTCACGAGAGGTAACAGTAGGTAGGTTGGTACCTACTAGTCTAAGGAATGGCACGTCATGAGGCCGGAGCTAGCTAATGCGGGTACGTCCGGAGGTACGGTAGGGGCCGGGGTAAGGTGAATGGAAGCGGGGTCTGCATAATACTTAAGTCAGATAAGAGTGTCTCGGTCTTTATTTAGTTAGTGAGCTCAAGTTGAAATGGCTGTATATCACAGTCTCCAGAATGCCTCAAAGAATCTTCAATGATGAATGCCTCTATACATCCACTGTTGTTTTGGGTTTGAGACATTTGGCGCCGCAGTGAGAGGTAGCTAGTCGGTAAGGGCATGGAAATAATCATGAGAACTGTTTCTCTCATCGGGTCTAGTCTGCCAAACACACAAGCAACCATCCATGAACGCACATATCACGAGGAGTGGCTAAGGTACCCAAGTACTCAGTTTGATGTTGTATCCCATTTAGTTTTATATACGCACGATATGGTTACGCCATCGGCAAAGCCACCCAACGCCTGTTGCTACTGTATAGCCCACATACATGAAATCAGTGAAACCACCACCTATTACCATGATTAACTAACCAAGGATTTGCCGTTTACGCCTGGACATGTCCAACAGATGTGCAACAAGAGCATCACTTCTTCGCCTTTGCCTTTTTCTTCTTCTTTGCTTCCTCAGCAGCCAGGTCTTTGTCCTTGATATTGTTGTAATGCCACACACCACGTTCCCGATCTTGCTGTAGTAGCTTCTGGTCTTCTTCTGAAATGGGGACGCCTTCAATGCCCTTCACTTTCTTCCCCTCGAGAAACATGACAAGCCCTCCAATGGCCGCGACAATACAAGCCAGTGCTACAAAAAGACCTGTAGACCAACTGGGGCGATCGTAACGGTTAAGGCCCCACATGAATCCAGACAGGACGCACTGCAGAAACGTGTTCCATACCATCAGCCAGATGACGGCGTCCATTCTCGTGACGGGTGTTGGCGGGGCGCGTACGCCAGTCAGCGGAGCGTCGGGGATCTTGTCTTCTGGAAATGGGCAGGCGAGTGATGAGGCTAGTTCGGGCGCAGACGAGATATTATGGGGCCCTATTTGAGGATCAATCTGATCGGACCCCGGGAGACGGAACCATCCTCGGTGAATGCCTGCCAATCGTCGAAGGGCAACTTCCTTCTTCTGGAACCGATACTGAAGCAGGAAATACAGATCACGAAAGCGCCATGGAGCAAGACCAAAACCTGTAACACAGAAGAGAGCATTCAGTATCTGGGAGTCCCACTCTATCCACTTGCGCCTGGGGGAGTTGATGTCGTTGCAAGTCGGAACACACATCGCGGGTGAAGCATTGCTGGATTGTTTGTCAGCATGGTTGGTTGGTTGGTTGACCTTGAGGAGAAGAGACACAAATCATTTAACTTACCAAAGCAGCAAGAAGAGCATTCCGCCCCAGGCAACGACGTTCAGACCGTATATGGTAACAAGAAAGCCGGTTGGTGTTCGTACATAGTTCCAGAAAGCGATCAGCCCAAGTTTCGTCGACTGTCCAAACGAATGCTTTGGGGGGAAATGATATCCATTGTCGAAAGGGGCCGCCGCAACAGGCTCGCCAGTCAAGTTTCGCCTCGGGGACCCGACGCTTGCATTCGCCTTCTCTTCGGGTGGCTCTTCGTTGACAGCTGGGAATGTGCTCTGTCTGGATGTGTCCCCAAGGGACTGGCTTGTTTGCATCGGTATCGAGGTGTCTGATGGCCTTCGCGCCACAGTCTGTCGCGAGAATATGGATGCTGCGATGGTTCCTGTAGCGGCCATAAACCCTTCAGGGGGGCCGGAAACTTCGAAACTCTGGGAAACTCTGCGTAGACGACCACTCAAAGATGAAGAGGCCGCTGGACGATTCTCGAGGACAGATGAAGAGTCGGCGTTTATGTTTGTATCGTCGGGGTTTGGTGACGCATTATCGAGGCTTGGAAAGGGTTCGGTATCTGTGCCATTATAGGAAGGTTGCCCAGAGTTTGTCATGGTGGCTATGCGACTTGGCGACCCTAGATTGGGCGCCTGGAGAGCTGCAGTTGAATGACGAGTATTGATATCGCGTGCAATTGGTGCTTGGCTCAGTGAATCAAGATGTCTAGACGTCTATACAGGTACCAAGATATAATAGAGAGAATGGAATGCGATTGTGATCCACATCAACGTGCCTAGCAACGGTGGGACTTGCCCATTTATCTTAGATCCTTTCTCAGGGTCTAATGCCAACGTGGATAGTGGATGTCAATCGCTACTAGGTACCAGGTATCGAGCTACTCCGCTGAAGCTACTGCTGACGGTTCACGGCAACGCCGGGGGGATCACTATTGGTCAATTACATACAGGCGAAGCCAAGTTCCTGAGACTCAAAAGTCTAAACGACCCTAATTCTCAGGGAACGAGCATGTGAATGTGAATAAACGGAAGTTCACTTCGTTCTCGTTCAATCATCAAGGTCCGCGGTCCGTTGGACGTGCATGTCCCCACTCTTCATAGGTGTTGTTATCCACCTTCAGTCGATCCATAAAAAAAAGTTAACATTTACCTCTCCGTACCTACCTACGGAAGACAAGGTCTCGAATCTGCATCACCCGCTCTTACAACGTCACTCGCTACTGTTGCGAATTCCCCCTCCAATTTCTCAAGCTCGGATCCTTCTTTTCCTCATCTTAGAGCCGCGCCTCGTCCTTTTACACGCATAACTGGCTTCCGCGCACACACTGCATCTTGGTCCTGATCCGTATCGAATTTCATCATCCGCCTCCCTTGGCACTCATTACGTGGACACCATATAAGGGTCAGCAATAGTCATGCTCGACATGGATCCCTCAAGTGACCCAGTTTCAAACGTCACTTCAGCAGTTGCATACAACCTGCAATATCAGCATGATTGGGTCTCCCTCAAAGTCCATGAAACGACAGCTCAGCGACCTTTGATCAGAGGTTTGCCGCCGAAACGGCTCTACACCCACCCTGATGACCAGATCGCTGCTCTGGAGCGTGAAAGGACCACCGGCGAGCCTATGGATCAGACACCAGAGCTCGAATGGGTGTTGGCGGTGCATCCCGAAGAGAAATGGTCTATCAAGAGATTCTCCGACATGTTTGACTCTATCGAGCGCAATGGCCCACGAGAGAAGAGGCTCGTTCTAGCCATCGTGCATAACGATTCCACGGTTGTCTACTATCTGATGCATGAGGGCATGGTCAAGCCTCGACAAAACTAATCGTTGACGTTTTGATCCGGGCTTGTATTTTGCATTACAGTGTGAATACTACTTTCTGCGTCTTACGCTGCTCGAAAAGAGCGTATCCTTCAGGGGCCTTTGCGAGCGGCATGATGTGGTCGAACAGGAAGCTCACGGTGATGTTAGCTGTTGGAGCATCTCCAATGGCAGCTCAAAAACTCACCCAATCTGGTCTTGCTTCTGCTCCAGCAACTTGAGGGCTTCGTCAAAGACGCTGCGGACTGGGCAGCGACCCATCTGCACTCGAATGTTCTTTCTGCAACAGTGTCAGCCAGTCAGCTCTCCTTTCGGATCAATACACAGAGAATCCCAAGGCGCTACATACGTATACGCATCGTCGCCCGTCCACGGAATCTGCATTGTGATGTTAGCTCCTGTCCCCTGGCTACCATTCCCTTCTGCTACCATACCTCCTTGTTGTGGACACCAATGCTACTAATAGCACCAAAAGGTCGCACGATATCGAATGCAGTCCTTAGAGCTGGGGACTGGCCAACGACTTCAACAACCATATCTGCCCCTCGTCCTTCCGTCACCTCCTTTATTCGAGCTTCTAGCCCTGCTCTGTCTGTTTCAAAGTTCAGAGGCTCTGCACCCAGTTTTCGAGCTTGCTCCAGACGACTGTCGACACTGTCGATGGCAAAGAGGTGGCGAGGCTTGAAATGAGTGGCTGCTAGGATGGCACAAAGACCAACCGGGCCACAACCTATGACGACTAGTGTGGCATCCTGGACGTTCTGGGAAGGGATCAATTCTGCGGCGCTCTTTACACCATAGAATCCGGTGGGAAAGATGTCTGCCATGAGAAGGAGAGCCTGGTCTGAGATAGTCCCGGGGGCTTTGACGGCAGTTCCATCGGCCATGGGAATCCGAACGTACTCGGCTTGTCCTCCGTCAAGAGTTTCACAGCCGAACAACTGGCTCTCAACGCAACGGGCTGAGCAACCATTGTTGCAGAAGAAACAGTTGCCGCTATAGTTTCTTATGAGCACGAGAACCAGACGGCGGAGGAGAGAGCTCACCAGGAAGCTGTAAAGGGAGCAACGACCTTGTCACCGATGTTGATTGTCTTTACAGCCGACCCAATCTGGACGACCGTTCCGGTGAACTCGTGGCCCATGATGAAGCCAGTATCTGAAGGCTGATGACCACGGTAGATGTGAAGTTCCCTGGGGCTCTAGTCAGCAGATGGGGCAGCATTTGAAGACGATGACGCCCTTACGATCCACACAGGCCAGCGGCATGAACTTTGATAATGATATCCCTCTCATCTTGAACTAAATCGAGTTAGCTGTAGTCGAAATAGCTCTCATTCAATAATGACGGGTTTGAAGCTGGGTGATTGGTCAACATACTCTGAGGCACTGGCCTGTTCTGCACTGATATTTTATACAGACCATCGAAAACCACGGCCTTCATGGTTGATGGCAGAGACATGATGTTGGTTTACGGGTTTGTCAAGGTCATTAACGATGATGTGAGATTGGCTTAGACAAGTGACTACGAATAGTTGCCTGTCTGTGTTGGCGTCAATTGCACAGCAAACTCCTCGC